GCAGCCCAAATGTAGCACCTCAGTCTCTTCACTATGGCTAATTGGTATAGTCATGGAGTCAAACTACATCTCTGGGGTTTTTTGTTTGTTGGTTTTTGGCTTTTGGGGTCACCCAGCAATGCTCAGGGGTTACTCCTAACTTCGCACTCAGGAATTACTCCTGGTGGTGCTCAAGGGACCATATGGGATGCTGGGGATCGAACCTGGGTTGACCGGGTGCAAGGCAAACACTCTACCCACTAAACTATCAAGCCAGGTTGAGGATTTTTAATTTACCTATCAAGAGACTTTGGAACTCTATCCCTTGACAAGTCGCCATGACTGAGTACTTTCCATCTGCACAACTTTGAAAATAGAGGCACTTTTTTTATTGCCTGGTCTCTCTTGTCCAGTAAAGAAAGCTGGAGCACATGTGTCTTGGGGTGGTAAAATCATGAGTGGGCATTGGTAGAAGAAAGATATCTTGGTTAGTGAAGGGAAATCGTGATCACAGATATTTTTACTCTTCTTATAGCCTTTCAAGGATGAACCAAGAAGAAAAACATCCCACCGAAACAGACCAGTAATTATTAAGGAAGTAGAAATGGTAAACAAAAGTATCCCCCAGAATAAAAGCCTGGATCCAGATGGCTTTACTAGTGAATTCTTCCAAACCTTCAAAGATCACCTGCTCCCGGTCCTTTTCAATCTCTTGCAGAACTTGCTGTGAAAACGGCAATCCTCCCAAACTGATCTTAGGAGGCAAACATTACCCTGAACCCAAAAAACGGAGAGCCATGCCACTAAAAAAGGAAGACCAATCGTAGATCAGTATCCCAGAAAATATAGATGCAAATGTCCTTACACTCAGCATACAAATTTAACAATACATCAAAAAGACAATACAGAGTAACCCAGCAGGATTTCAATCCAGGATGCAAGGATGGTTTCATATAATTAAATTATCAACATAAGATACCATATCATTAGAAGGAAAAAATAAAAAGCATATGATCATATCACTAGATGCGGAGAAAGCATTTGTCAAGATCCAATACTCATTCATGACAAAAAAATCCCAGTAAAATAGGAATAGATGGAACTTACCTCAATGTAGTTAAAATCATTTACCATGAACCCACAACAGATTTACACAACAGTGAAAAACTGAAAGCTTTCTCTCTCAGATCAGATACAAGGTTGCCCACTCTCATCACTATTACTTGATATAATTTTGGAAGTGCTGCTCATAGCAATTAGGCAAGAAAGATATATGAAAAGCATTTAGATTAGGAAAGAAATCAAACTATCACTCTTTGCATATGACATGATAATATACTTAAGAACCCTAAAGATTCTACAAACAAAAAGAATCTTGAATCAATAAGCTAATACAGTAATGTGGCAGGCTACAAAATCAACATGCAGAAATCTATGACATTTCTATATGCAAGCAATAAAAGGGAAGAGGGAAAATAATTTTAAATACAACTCACAATTATAGCTCAAAATATATCATGCTTGGGGCTGGAGCAATAGTAGGTCATTTGCCTTGCACTCGTCTGACCCAGGTTCAATTCCCAGCATCCCATATGGTCCCCTAAGCACCGCCAGGAGTAATTCCTGAGTGTGAAGCCAGGAGTAATCCCTGTGCATTGCTTGCTAGGTGTGACTCAAAAAGAAGAAAAAAAAAATCACACTCTTGGGAATCAGCTTAACAAACGTTGTTAAAGACTTAATACAAAGAAAGCTACATATCACTACTAAAAGAAATGAAGACACAAATCCTGGTATGCATAAATCACCAAATGGACTTATGATATAAAGGAGACTTTTAAAATTATGAATTAAGACTATCCTAAATTGACAATAATGGCAATTTCGTTTAATTAACCACATTTTTCCCCCTGATGAATTGTGGCCTGGGAAAATTCTCATCCTTGATCACAGTCCGTGCCCGGGTTTGGCTCTCCTTGGGAACTGCACATTTTGTGGTGTTCTAACACCCCAATAACAAGGCAGCTGAGATCACATTTGGTCTTGGGAGGTGAGACTGGGGCTCAGACTTACGGCCTGATGCTAAAGAGCCATCTTGACGACCACCAAACTGTCCTTGAGCCTTTGGCCTAATACTTTTGCGTATCCGTTTTTCACAGTCATTTTTATGATGTCAGCTTGGACTTTGGAGGAGACATACTTACTAGTTGTGGTGTAGAGTTGGAGTTGTTGTGCGGCCGCGAATGCGGACTTGGCGCAGTGATGTAGTGAGTGGTCGGTGCTCCGCCTCCAATGAGGCCTGGGGCTTCTCTATCGGAGGTCACTGTCCTCACGGAGAGCTGAGAGCTGGCCACGTGTACCACGCATCCTTCCCATCAGTCTCCCGGGGTGGAGAAGCCGAGCCAACCTGGGTGCTTTGATTCACTGTGCGGGTCCGAGAGGGTAGTGGGGTGCAGCCTCAGAGTCCAGAGGTCCCAGCATACAGGCTTTCTCCTTGTGACCTGCCATCTGCGGTTGGACATTGCAGGCCAAGCAGGGCATCTGCGGACACCGTTTTATCCTTCTGCATCTCTGGCGATGCTGTGTCCCACGTGGTAGTGTCCCAAAGGCCACAGTTGTGCCCCCCACTTCCTGCCGCTGTTCCCCCAACTCCCCAAGAGTCTGGGGAAGACCCTCTCCCTCCCGCAGGACTGGAGAGTGAAGGAGGTGCTTTTCTTTTTGTTTGTTTGATTTGAGCTAGGGAACTAACTCCTGGCTCTACACTCAGGTGACCCTACGGGATGCCAGCGGTCAAATACGGGTCGGCCTTGTGTGAGGCAAGTGTCCTGCCCGCTGTACTGATGCTCCAACTGCAGAAGGAAGTGGTTTTTCTTTTTTTGTTTTGTTTTGTTTTGTTTTGGGGTCACCCCCAGCAATGCTCATCGATTACTCCTGGAGGTGCTCTGGGGACCATATGAGATGCCAGGGGTCGAACCAGGTCTGCTGCACGCAATACAAATGCCCTACCTGCTGCACTGTCTCTCCGGCCTCAAGGAGGTGGTTTCAGTGGCATCCTTTCTACTCTGGCCTCCCCTGTGGAGTCTCCGTTCTAGCCCCTCGCTTCGCAGATGCCCGGCTCCACCCCCACAAAGGCCATTCCATGAAAACTCTTGGGCATGGCCCTTGGTTCAATCAGGCTGGTCATGAGCACCTCAACCCAGGCTCCGGGGGATCTAGAAGGCAAGGGCCTGGAAGCCAGGACCAGGTCCCCCTGTGTTCAGAGAAGGCCTTAGTTGAGGGACTGTTCCCCGGGATAAATAGGGAATGTTTGCATGACCAAACAACAGCCCACGCAAGGATGTGGCCAAGTCTTAGGGTGGAAAAGAGAAGTACTGCACTGCCCTGTCCTACTGTGTTTGGCATATCGAATACATCATGGGGAGCTTGCCAGGCTCTGCCATGCGGGCGAGATACTCTTGGTAGCTTGCCGGGCTCTCCAAGAGGGGCAGAGGAATCGAACCTGGGTCAGCCGGGCCAGCCACGTGCAAGGCAAGTGCCTTACCGCTGTGCTATCACTCAAAGAGAAGTAGAGAAAAAAAAAATGAACCCTTTGTTGTCATCCCATCCCATTCCGTCCCCCCACCCACTCACCCACACACACACCTGCTCCTGGGATTCGAGAGTGGTATTTCACTTTGTGCTGATCCACCAATGATAGTGAGGCCAGAAATGCATAAGAACTGGTATGAAAGGAGTGGCCTTAATCCCTCCCAAGGTCCTGAGTGTGGTAGGATGCTGAAATGTGATTGTTCCCCCTGTCATCCACATACAATTGGGGGTGAGATGCTCTCTCCCCTCTTCTGGGTACCACGTTTCCGCAATCCACCATGCATTTCAGGTTGACAACATAGTTCAGTTGGCTGAGTCCCGGAACTTGTGGCCACTGTTGGCTGGTCTCTTCATAGAGAGGCCGGGTGCTGGGAACCAGCCATTATTACTTGTTTTTCTGGGTTGTGGGGAACCTTTGGACTTGTGGGTCTCCAGCCCAAGCATCAGCCCTCATCTGAGCCTAAGTGTACGCATTCTGTCACTGGGGACCACTCCCAGGCACCCCCATCATGCCATATACTTAGGAGGCATCAACAGATTTCATTGTTCTCTCTCAACTGGCTTTGCTGCCTCTGAGCCCGAAGCCCAGTACTCAGTTGAGTATATGAGATACTAAGTGGATTTTGTTGTTGTTGTTGTTTGGGGGGGGGGAGGCACATCCAGCAGTACCCAGGGCTTACTCCTGGTGCTGTGCTCAAGGTTCACTCCTGGCAGGGCTCAGGGAACCATATGAGGTGCGGGAGGGGAGGGGGGTTTGCACCGGAGTTGGCCACTAGCAAGACCAGCGCTTTACCCAATGTCATATCTCTCCAACCCCAGAGTGGGTTTGTTTGTTTGTTTGATTTTTAAATGAAAATGCATAGGAAACTTGGGTGAGGACTTCTCCTTTGCCTATGTTAAACGACAATGCTAATTGAAGGGCAAGATGGAGCGTGTGCCATATTCGTTATTCTGAATTCTTGTCTGTTACTAGCCAGGTTATTCTGCTGTCACTCTTTCTTCCGTTGGCTCTTTCATGAGACTGTGACTGAGTCCCTTCTGGAAACCCAGGCTCCTCCAAAGCCTCCCAGCATGGGGATCCAAAGTCAGATGGGAATTCAGTCGCCACTGTATTGGAGACAAGAGTCTGGGACGTAGAAGAGTTCGTAGCCAGTAGCGAGTATGATAATACCAGCACTCACTGAGTTTTTGGGGGGCAACAGTGATGGTCAGGGACAGAGGCTGCCGGGGCTGGCCAGGAAAACGCGCCTGCAAATCCCATCACGTGCACGGGGTCGTGACTGAGTTGGTGAACCACAGCACCTCACCCTGAAGGAAAATGACTGGTCTGTCTGGCTTGGACAGAGCATCACCGGGTGGATGCCCAGCCCCGGGCCTACGTCTCGTCTCATTTGTCCCTTGCACCGGTGACAAGCACTTGTCCTTTCTTATTCCAGGCAAAGCGAAGGCTGGAGCTCGGAGAAAGCGGTCACCAGTACCTCTCCGATGGTCTGAAAACCCCCAAGGGCAAGGGCAGAGCTGCACTCCGAAGTCCGGACAGTCCCAAAAGTAAGGGTCCCTGCCGCCCCCCCATCCCGTCCTCTCCTCTCGGGTGTCCTCACCCCGACCTGCAATACTGGTGGCCCCGAGAATGCCATGGTGGGGGTCTCAGGGGCATGCCTCATCCTCCTTCTTCGCTTCCTGTGCCTCTCTGTGAGGCTCCCGGGGAATGCCCAAAGTTGGGGGACACTAGGGCCTTTTCACTCTCCCGGGGTGCCGGGGAGAATCCTCGAAGGAGGAGGAGGCAGGCAGGAGTGCCCCTTTTGGCCAGGGTCTATGCAGGCCCCAATCTCCAGCTTCCATGACGGACCGGAAGAAAGGCCAAGAGCAGCTGTCACCACTCGTCTCGTCTCTCTGAGTGGGGGCGTAGGTTGGAAAGAGCCGCCTAGCCCGGTACGTCCCGAAAGGCCAAACTAGACTCTTACCTCCGGTCTCATTTACCCACCAACACGTGCTTCCGCCTCTCCGGGGGTACAAGGATAGTCACTCATCAGACTTCCAAGACGGAGGGGAGATTGGGTCGAAATGATTCTTCTCGGATTCACCGAGAAAAAAATAAAAATGGGTGAACTCATCCTTTCGGCATGGGGCCCCTAGGGACCCCTGCGTCTGGGCCCTGCTAGACCAAGACCTACAGAGACCAAGACCTGCGTTTAAGCTCCTGGGGTGCCAATGCCCCAAGGACCGTGGCCCTTCCTCATGCATGCAGCACCCGCCCCCCACCCCGGTGAGCAGGGTCAGCCAAGACCGAAAGTCCTGTGAAGTCCGGCCACCCAGCAGGAATCCACACCTGCCCAGAGAAGGCACTTACTTGGTCCCTTCTGCTGCCTTGACTCACCCCCCTGGCCACGGGGCTCTGCACTGCTCGGGGAGAGGGCTGGAGGGGCCGCAGAGACGCCCTTCATGTCTTTACCTCCCCCCCACCCCACCTCTACCCCACTCCCCCCTCCCCCACACCCGGTCGGGTTTTTGTTTTGTTTTGTTTTTCTTTAAGCTCCAAAATCTCCCTCAGAAAAAACGCGGTATGATACGTCCCTTGGTCTGCTCACCAAGAAGTTCATTCAGCTCCTGAGCCAGTCGCCCGACGGGGTCCTGGATCTGAACAAGGCGGCCGAGGTGTTGAAGGTGCAGAAGCGGAGGATCTATGACATCACCAACGTGCTGGAGGGCATCCACCTCATCAAGAAGAAGTCCAAGAACAACGTGCAGTGGATGTGAGTCGGCCCCACCCGGGGTCCCGCCTCCCCGGTCCCTCCCCAATGCCCCGTCCATACAAGGGTGGGGGGAGGTTGACTTGTCTCTGTGGGCATTTGGGAAAGGATGGAAATGGTGGTCCAGTGGCATCGTCACTCACCACCACGTAGCTCCGGCCCTGGGTTTCCTGGCGGATGAACTCAACCTGTGTTACTTGAGGTGAGGCATCCGTGCTGGAATTTCCAGTGCCTTCTAGAAAGCAGGGTTCTTGTCATCACCTGCCACCTGCGCGCCCACGGGGTATAATTCCGTATAAGATCATGTCATTGGCGAACAGCAGCAGCCCCCAAACCCCGCCCCCCCCAACCCTGGCCCATCTTTCAGAAGTCACTTTGGGGGCCTTATTGAACCTGGGCTCAGCATGTGTCTCATTGAGACCCCAGGTTCCATCCCTACCATCACCAACCAAAGTAATAAATAAAGAAGTACTGGAAAGAATGCGTCTTTTTTTTTTTTAATTATTGTTTGTTTTGCTTTGTTTTCTTTGGGGGTGTATTTTATTGGGGAGATGAGAGCGGTAGGTTTTTTTCGGGCCATACCAAACTGCTCAGGGCTGACTCCTGGCTCTACGCTCAGGGTTCCCTCCTGGTGGTGTTCAAGGGACCTTATGCGGAGTTAGGATGGAACCCAGTTGCATGCCCTACCCATTAGACTATCTCTCCGGCCCCAGAATATATTTTTTTAATGGGAATGACTTTGAAAGCACATTTAAAACCGGGTAACATGAGCGTGATAACTCGTTTGACATGTGTGCTATTTTGGAATTTGGTGATGATCGTGTGACCCATTTGTAACCCATTGGGGTTTGGTCTTTTTTTTTTTTTTTTGACCATCACACATCCCTTAGGATTTTTTTAGCTGCCTGTTCTTTCTCATTGTTGGTGTAAGGCTGGGGCTAGAGAGATAGTACAGCGGGTAAGGCACTTGCTTGGCATGTCGCCGGCCCAGATTCAGTCCCCAGCAACCCATATGGTCCCCTGAGCACCACCAAGACTAATTCCCTGAGTGAATTACTACAGAGCCAGAAGTAACCCTTAGCAATGCTGGGTGTGACCACAACTCCTCCACCCCCCCCCCCCAAAAAATCAATAAATCACCTGGGTTGTTGGTGTTTTTTCTGGAGGACATTTCTTTTTCATCTTATATCTTTGCAATATTTTTCTTTTATTTTACCTCTTATCTTTCTGTCCCGCACCACCACAATTTTTTGTAAACTCCTCGGGAGGCATACAACCTGGAGGAATTGCCTCCATAGAAATGAAAGTCCGCAGATAGGTGCTGTCATGAGAACACTGAGCTAACAAGCGGTGTGTGGCCTGCCATGTCCCAGGGGGCCTTCCCCTGAACACCTGTTCCTCAGAGCGCTCCCTTCCTCTGTCCCCTCGTGAGTAGCCATGAAAGGTCTCTGTTTGGGTTTCCAGGGGCTGCAGTCTGTCTGAGGATGGGGGCATGCTGGCCCAGTGCCAAGGCCTATCCAAGGAAGTGACCGAGCTCAGTCAGGAGGAGAAGAAATTAGACGAATTGATCCAAAGCTGCACCCTGGACCTCAGACTGTTAACCGAGGATTCAGAGAATCAAAGATATCCTTTGCGCCTGCGCTTCGGGAGTTGATGTCTCATAGACTATTTCCAGAGTCAACGAAGCAACATTCATGCACGCCAGGGAGAACGTACTCAGGGTATCATACGTGTACGTGTGTGAGTGGATACACACGTGTGTGTAAGCCCCGCTTACCGTTGCCTTAAAGTCTCTGAGAACCGTGTGTGTTTGGGACATATGCAGACACTCATAGCACAAGGCAGCGCTATTCTAAGATACATAAGGTGTCGGCATTAATATTAATGACAACATTTACCAGACTCGCCCTGCGCTCCCCAGATTTCGGGTGGGAGTTAGCTGTCACTGTTGGGGTTCTCACGTTCTATTTTCTTTTCATCAGATATTAGAGAAATTGCAATTTGTTGGATCTGTTGGAGCCATAGCTGAAAGGTTGAAAAGAGTATAGAGAAATCTTGCTCTAATTTTGAAAGTGTATCAGGCTGATTGACAATACCAGACACAGATTTCTGAAGCACCCCTAGGGCCTGAGAAATCCCGGTTGATGCGTTCACCGGCAAGCATGCGTTTAGGGAATTTTTTTTTTAAATTTAAAAATGTAAAATAGCCAGTTCTTGTTCTCAACAGGCTGACGATCTGTTGGCTATCTCGGGAAAACTCATTACAAGCAAAAAGAGACAACTTCATGAGATTGATGAGAACATTTCGCAATCTTCTCGGTTATTGGCGAAGAGAAAAAAAAGAATTTTTTTTTTTCAGTTATATCATCTCTGATTCCAGTCTCAAACTTCTCTACCTTTATCTCTTGTGAAAGAGAATAGAAACCCAGGGATACCCTTCCTCTTCTGTCTCATCTCAAATAGAGGCTAAGGGATCCCAGAGGTTGTGAGGACATTCATTTTCTGATTCGTCCTTTTTTTTTTGCAACTAAGGTTTACTTCCTGTTGGCCAAAGGAAGTAAAACTTTGCCAGCTAGCAATTTAAGGAGATGGAGAAGAGGTGTGACGGTTTGAACCCCCAAAAGTGGCTAGAGTGGGCTTATCGGGCAAGGAATAAAAATAGCTTCAGTTGGGCTGTTTCCTTTATTGTTTCGGTAGACCCCCGCCCCCCCATCTCCTCGGGGGTGGTTTTCCATGATTGGCAGCTTTCTGGAACATGCTGCTTACAGCCGTGTCACCTACATTAGCTTTCTCTGGCGCCTTTGTTGCAGAAAAAGAAAGCTTTCTTGCAGGGGGGCTGCTGAAACCAGAAAGAAGCTAATTCAGGAGGGAACCACTTTTCTAAGTGTGAATGATCAGAGAACATTCACAAAGGGGTTTGCACACCCCTTACATTGGTGTGCACCTTAAATTTGGTGCAGCTGGCTCATCCAGCTGTTGGGATTATCCCTCCCACAGGACATGGAGTAATTGTAGCTAGGGTTTTTGTTTGTTTGTCTGTTTGTTTTTTAATTTTATTGAATCACCGTGAGATATTTACAAGCTTTCATGTTTGGGTTACAATCACACAATGATCAAACACCCATCCCTCTACCAGCGCACATTCCTCACCACCAGTATCCCCGGTATAACCCCCTTTTCCCACCCTCCCCCTGCCTCCATGGCAGACAATATCCCCCTTACTCTCTCTTTCTCTCTCTCTACTTTTGGGCATTGTGGTTTGCAATACAGACACTGAGAAGTTATCATTTTTGGTCCAATATCTGCTGTCAGCACACATCTCCCATCCCGACCAATTCCTCCAGCCATCATTTTCTTAGTGAGCCCTTCTCTATTCCAGCTGCCTTCTTCCCTCCGTTCATGAGGCAGGCTGGAGCTAGGTTTTTTAATTGTTGCAATGGCTTTGGGCAGCTCATCTGGTTTTCAGTTTCTTCTGTTTTCTCAGGGAAAGTTCAGGACTGCCGGGTCTTCTGCAGAGGGCCCAGTTGGCTTTCTGGGGACCAGAACCCCCCGTGTTCCACCCATACTGTTCTCACAGGCTCAGTGCTGAGACTAGCTCAAGGCTCAACTCTTGAGACGTGCAAAAGAAGACACAGCAGGTGAACTTACCTGCAGGCATGGGGTGGATATGTTCTTTGGTGTTTTTAGTTTGCTGGGTTCCCAGCTTCTTTGAATTTGAAAGAATTTCATCTTCCTTGCAGCGCTGTCAAATGAACTCCCACTGTCAAATGAATGGCACTGTCCACTGTCCGCTCTTAGCCTCCCTGGAGACACGCACCCATGCAGTCGCCCTCTGCGTTTTCCCTTCAGGTGTTCTTCACCCTTCCCTGTGGCCACGGTGAGGATAACTGGAGGTGTCACGCACACACCAGGAGTTGCTCACACTTGGGGTCGCACTCATTTCATTGCGGCATTTACTCAGGTTCCGATTCTAGTGCCGGTGCGCTGGTCCCTGGAATTCCCTCTCTGGGGGTGATGCTCTCATTATCCACCTGTAGGTTGTAGTGCGGCAATATTTTTGTGGGTTAATATTTTAAAAGCCACTGGTTAAAGTCGTGGTACTCAAATTATGTTCCTCCACGGTCCTTTGATGAAAGCTGTGCCACCAGTTGTCTTTCCACTTGGGGCGAAAGGTTTTCTGTTGGGGCTGGAGCGATAGCACAGCAGGTAGGGCATTTGCCTTGCACGCGGCCAACCCAGGTTCGATTCCCAGCATCCCACAGGATTCCCTGAGCACTGCCAGGAGTAATTCCTGAGTGCAGAGCCAGGAGTAACCCCTGTGCATCTCCAGGTGTGACCCAAAAAGCCAAAAAAAGAATTTGTTTATCTCTTTAGGAAAATATTTTACCATATGTTAACACAGAGATTTCACCAAGGCCCTCCTTTAGCTTCGGCTTCCAGACTACCTGAAAGAATTGTTCAGTGCTCAGAAGTAACTCTCGAGAAGACTAAAGCGTTATCTTCCTGTCCTTTCCTGAATCAGCATTTCCCAAATACATTCAGGCTGCAGAGCATCTGGAAGCCGCATCCGCCTCATGAAGGCAGAGAGAGTTAATAACACGCAGAGAATGATTCTTCTCTCAGAGGAAGAATGACACTTATCCATAGGTGACAGACAATCACAGCCAGTCTCTGCGCACCCCAGGAAACAATGCTGCCTGCCCAAGCACTATCTGAGTTCTTCTGCTCAGACATCTCTTGGTGAGCTCACTGGGGTGGTTGCTTGGCCCTTGCTAACAATCGAGTTGCAGAAAGAAGTAACTGACAGGGGGCTGGAGCGATAGCACAGCGGGGAGGGCATTTGCCTTGCACGCAGCTGACCTGAGTTCGATTCCCAGCATCCCATATGGTCCCCTGAGCACCACCAGGAGTAATTCCTGAGTGCAGAGCCAGGAGTAATTCCTGAGTGCAGAGCCAGGAGTAACCCCTGTGCATTGCCGGGTGTGACCCAAACAGCGAAAAAATAAATGAATAACTAACAAGGACTGGAAATGGGGTCCAGTGAGGTAGACCATATGCTCTTCATGGCCCTGGAAAGGAAAAAGAGAAGAAATCTGAAAAATACATAAATGTACCAATAGGGCTTAAATCCTCTTTTGTGACTTGAGATCTGTCATTTAATTTTGGACACTTGATTGGCATGCAGTGGAATAGCTGTGCTCCAGGCAGAAAGGCTGGTTCGAAATTCCCTAATCAACCAGCTTTGGGTTTTCTTCTGAGAGCTTAACGATTCTGTTTGTGTGTTCGTATTAATAATTTAGAACGGACAGGGAAAACCTATACATTTCTTCAGTTGTTTAGAAGAGCAGCAAGATTTATGGGAGTCTCTCATATCAGATATCTAGAAGGGGAGACATCCGTGTTCTTAGAAGTCATGAAATATTTAAAATGTTTCCATGCATCGCTTTGTTGTCTTTATGATGTTCTCAGCTCGAGCAATTACAAGATTTCCTTAACCCTCATTTACGTTAGCTTATGTTACATATCAAGATATTCAAAAAATTAGTGGCCTTAAAGACCAAACTGTTATAGTTGTGAAAGCCCCTCCAGAAACAAGACTTGAAGTGCCTGACCCAGTAGAGGTAAGGAAATCACACGTTTGTTTGTTCGTAATGAAGGGATTAAGAGGGGGATGGGGGAGGAGAGGACTTGGGAGGGGGGATGCTGGGATTGAAAAACCATTGAGATTCATGGTTGAAGTTGGCATCCTTCGAGAAACTTGGGAGTTCTTTTCCATCTATTTTATTTAACCCTGCGTTTCTAACACATTTCCACCCTTTGATAGATGTTGAGTATCCACAAAGCCTAATTTGAACGTAGGTCGTTCAATGCAAAGCAGAATATGATGAGTTATGCCTTTTACACCTTTTCTTTTTCATAAATCTAGTTGCTAGTAGTTCTGATCAGTTTGAACCATTGTGGGATCTTATGTTTATTGCCTTGCTGACGGCTCCTGCTGACAGTTTTACCACGTTTCTAAAATGTATCATTTATGAAGATTTTGCTTTCAGGAAATCAAAGGGGGGTGGTGGGTTCATTGGCGAACTGGAATAGGGCAAGAATGAAGAGAGCTCATTCTTGTAATTGGTTTCACCTAAGTAATTGACCCTTGAACACCAGAGGTTCTGAACGGGAAGGCCCATTTGCAGGTGGATGTCTCAGTAAACATATACTGTCCACTCAGAGTGACAGCAAATTCAGTCCCACTCTGCAAATGGCTTCGTCTGTCTTCCTCTGACTTCCTTAATGGCCTTTTCTTCTCTCTAGCTTACTTTATTTAAGGAAACCATATATAAAACAAACACTGTCCTCCTGTTGTTCATCGATTTGCTTGAGCAGGTCCAGTAATGTCTCCATTTTGAGACTTGTTGTTACTGTGTTTGGCATATTGAATACGTCACGGGTAGCTTGCCAGGCTTTGCCGTGTGGGCAAGATACTTGCAGTAGCTTGCCAGGCTCTCCGAGAGGGGCAAAGGAATCGAACCCAGCTTGCCCGGGCTGGCTGCGTGCAAGGCAAACGCCCTACCGCTATGCTATCGCCCCAGCCCCAACCATATGTAATATGACATAAAATATCTATTTTCAACTGCACAGTGGCTCAGCGTGTGTTGGTCCACGGTCAGCTGGCCTTGGGTAATATTGGCCTATAGACTAGAAATACCAGAAGACCGAAACATTCAGTAAGAAGGAAATGCATTAAAAAGATCAAGGGAGGATGAAATATGCAAGCACCCCATTGAGGGTAGAATTCCCACCAGAAACGATAATGAGCTAGATTATGAACTAGATTAAGGAGAATTTTAAAATTAGTATGCTGCATTCCCTTCTTGAACTCAGTTCCAAATACTTAAGACTTCTAGATTCATTTAGTGTTCAGTAGTTTGGCATAAAAAGCCCCAACTTACAGAACCAACAACACAGAAATCCGGCATTTGGAATACTTTCAGGAACTTTTAATGACTAGCATGAAGGAAATGTTAAAGACCCTAATTCATATCACCCATAGTATCTTTTTCACAAACTGAAAACCTTACCGCTCCCCCTTCCCCACCCCCCAACCCCCAAATAGTCTCTTCCTTTAGGGCACAGCCCATCAAGTTTTTCTTTAGAGGCCCAAGCAGTAGTAAATTTACTGATTCAGTGAAACAGTCTTTGCAGAGTCTTCTCATCTGTGCAACTCTGCTCTTGTAGCATTAAATAGGGAAGGAGAAAAAATTAAAAGTCAGAGGGGGCTGCAACAGTTGTATAGCAGGTAGTGTGCTTGCCTTGTACACAGCCAGCCTGGGTTCAGTCCCTGGCCCCATGAGTCCTACCAACTCATTCCTGAGCACAGAACCAGCAGTAAGCCCTGTGCACCAGGTATAGCTCAAAAAATGAGGGACGGGAGAAGTAGTGTGTAATCAACATGACAGTATCAATAAAACTTTATTTGCAAAACCAGCTGTCAGACTGAATTTCACCCCCAGGTGATGATTTGCTGATTCCTGCCCTAAAGGATGAGAGTGACTAAGCTAGACTCCCGCGAAGGGGGCAGAGAGCATTATCTTCCATTCTTTGGATGAAAATCTCTATAGCTTTCATTTCTAAATGATTTTCCGTTCAAAATCCTGTTTCTTGTCTTCCTAGAACCTACAAATACGTTTGGCAAGTACCCAAGGGCCCATTGAGGTTTATTTGTGTCCAGAAGAGACTGAAACGCACAGTCCAATGAAAACAAACACCCAAGACCACAATGGGAACATCCCTAAACCCACTTCCAAAGGTAAAAATTCCACTCTGTCATTTGGAAACTATGTCAGAAATGAAAGGTGACTAGAAGGATCCTGTATCAGAAATACAGGTCCAGGCAAGAATGAAAGGCTTTGTGTGATTACTGTTATCAAGGGAACATCTTTGAAAGAGCATTCTGGCCAGTGTACGGAATAAAATCCTGATCTTGGGCACATGACTCCTCTCCTCGCCAATGGCGTCCCTCCCTTTAGGCTTTTGCTACTGGCGCGTTTCCTTGCCGTGTTCCTGGAAAACCAGCTGAAGTGATGAGTGAAACTCAGCTGCCCCGGTGAATCATCAAGTATACTTGGCCGCACACCTTTGAATGATGCTGCAGAGATCATTAAGAGAGAAAGCAAAGGGAAAATATCGGTGGAGGGGAGGGGAGGGAGACTTTATTTATTTATCTATTTGCAATAACAGTTTCGCCTAAAATTTTCCCCCAATGTGAAGGAGAGAGGATGTGGAAAAACATCAGGAAAATAAATGTAGCCCCTTGGGGCTGGAGCAATAGCACAGCGGATAGGGCCTTGGACGTAGCCAACCCGGGTTCGATCCCCAGCATCCCATATGGTCCCCTGAGCACCGCCAGGAGTAATTCCTGAGTGTGGAGCCAGGAGTAACCCCTGAGCATCGCCGGGTATGATGCAAAAAGCAAAAAATAAAATAAAAATTAATAAAAGTAAATAAATGTAGCACCTTCCTCCTCGGCCCCCAGAGCAAAGGAATCTCTTTGCTGTCCATTTATTTATTTATTTATTTACTTATTTATTGGTTGGGCCATGGAAATACCCAGGGGGTCACTCCTGGTGGTGTTCAGAACCCAATGGAATGGGGGGGATCGAACCCAGGTCAGCCACATGGAAGGAAAAGGCCGTACCTACTGTATACTATTGCTCCAATCCCTTCAGTGTCATCTTATGTAATTAAATTTTCCCCCCTTCTCTCTACCAATCCAACAGCAAGAATAGGAATGATTTTAAGTGAATTGGCCTGGTTTTAAGACCAAACAACAGTAAAAATACAGCACTTCAGGGGCTGGAGTGATAGCACAGCAGGTAGGGCGTTTGCTTGCACGCAACTGACCCGGGTTCGATTCTCAGCATCCCATATGGCCCCCTGAGCACCACCAGGAGTAATTCCTTAGTGCAGAGCCAGGAGGAACCCCTGAGCATCGCTGGGTGTGACCCAAAAGGAAAAAAAAAATGCAACACTTCAGGTGGTACAACAAAACGGCCTTTCTTTCATCATAGAAATTCTGTGCCTGACCTGTACTTTAGAGGTATCTTGAATAAGCTGGTTGTCCAAAAAAAAAGCCTGAGTTAAAATCAGTGAACTAGAGCCGGATCGATAGGACGTCAGGTAGGGTGTTTGCCTTGCACACGCTGACCTGGGTTCAATTCCCGGCATCCCATGTGGTCCCCCAAGCACCACCAGGAGTGATTCCTGAGTTTTTTTTTTTTTTTTGGTAGGAGTACTGTTATTTATTCAGCCACTGATTAGATGACTGAATTGGGCATGAACTCCACCTTACTTTTTTTTTTTCGTTTTTCATAATTTTATTTATTGAATCACCATGAGACCAGTTGTAAAGCTTTCAGGTTTAAGTCTTGGTCACACAATGAAACTCCCATACCTTCACCAGTGCCCATTCTCCACCCCCAAAAACCCCAGTATAACCCCATCCCACGCCCTCCCCCTACCTGTGGGGCAGATGATTTTCCACATTACTCTCTCTCTACTTTGATTATATTCAATATTTTGACACCAGACCCACTATGATTATTTGGGATTTTACCCCAATACTCAGATCTGCCGAAAAGGCAACAGTAGGCAATTTGTTTTCTATTTCTGGTTCTGAATAACATATGATGTTGCGTGGCTGCAGTAGTGGCCACGTGATTTTGAAATTTTGAAATTTTAACAATTAAATCTTGAAGGATTTCGGCCAAAACCTGCAGTGTTCCGAGATTTGTTCCTGAGTCTCTGGGATCATGGCTGTTAAGCAGCTTGATCAGGAGCCACAAAGGCTGTTCATGGGTGGCGACTCGGGGTCTCGTTGGGACAGGGACGAAAGGGCCGGCTCCATCCTGTGAGGTCCCACGTGTCTCATCACTGCAGGCCCAAACTTGACTGTCCAGTGGTCTCTGGAGGATGGCAGCCACCAAGCTGCCTAGGGGGAGCAGGTGGAGGGACAGCACCCTTTTCCCCCTGTGGTGGCCTGATGACAGTAACCTACTGCACGGTCCGGACGCATTTCTGCCAAAAGCCGTTGGGTTTCGAGAATTGTTTCTGAGTCTCTGGGATCATGGCAGTTAAGCAGCTTGATCAGGAGCCAGAGAGGCTGTTCATGGGGGGCGTCTCAGGATCCCTTTGGGGTGGGGAGGAAAGGGCCGGCTCCACCCCCATCTCATGAGGCTCCACTTGTCTCGTCACTGTGGGCCCAAACCTGACTGTCCAGTGGCCTCTGGAGGATGGCAACCACAGGGCCGCCAGGGGGAACAGGTCAAGGCACAAAACCTATTCCCACCTGGGGTGCCCAGTGCTGGTAACCTACTGCAGGGACCGGACGCATTTCTGCCAAAAGCCGCTGGGTTTCAAGATTTGTTTCTGAGTCTCTGGGATCATGGCCGTTAAGCAATTCAATCAGGAACCAGAGAGGCCATGCCTCCAATTATATAGCTGAGCCAGAGGTGGTTCGTGGGTGTGTTTCCCACATACCTAACTTTTGGCCATTTCCTTTTTTGGTAAACTTTGCCCCAAGTTTTTGAGGTCTGGCCAAAGGTACAGCAGCAATTTTGGGGTATCTGGAAGTCTGAACGTGCCATCAGGCTGCTGATGCACTTGCCTCACAGGTACAGACTGACCTGCTGGCGGCACCATACCCCCCAATTCCTGAGTTTTAAAGCCAAGCGTAACCCCTAAGCATCACTGGGTATGACCCAAAAAGCAAAAAAAAAAAAAAAAAAAAAAGCAGTGAACTTAGGCTATGAGCGATAGAACAGCATGTAAGGCACCTTGGCCTTGCCTTGAACCCAAGTTCAATCCCCCACATCGCAAACAATCCTCTGAGCACTGCCTGGTGTGACCAAAAAATAAATTAAAAAAAAGAAGAGGTGATACCTAATTGTCCTTAGCAATGGGAGCGAGGACCTTTCCAGAACAGCAGCATTGGAGAACCATTGCATTCTCTCCTGACCCATTTTATTAAAAGTAACCTCCACCTTGGAGGCTGGAGCAGTAGTACAGCGGGTAGGGCGTTTGCCTTGCACCGGCCAACCAGGGTTCGATTCCCAGCATCCCATATGTTCCCCCGAGCACCGCCAGGAGTCATTCCTGAGTGCATGAGCCAGGAGGAACCCCTGAGCATCGCCGGGTGTGAGCCAAAAAGAAAAAAAAAAATAGTAACCTCCACCCATTTCTTCCTTCCCCCCTCCCTTCCAGACTTGGCTTCAACCAACTCAGGACATAATGACAGCTCGATTTCCATGGCGACCCTTTCTCCTCTCCCCTCCCCTGCCAACCTTCTGCAGCAGACGGACGACCAAATCCCTTCCAGCCTGGAAGGGCCGTTTGTGAACTTGCTGCCTCCGCTGCTCCAAGAAGACTATCTGCTCAGCCTGGCCGAGGGCGAGGGCATCAGCGACCTCTTCGACGCCTACGACCTGGAGAAGCTCCCGCTGGTGGAAGACTTCATGTGCAGTTGATCAGGCCGGCGGGTGGCGCGCGGAACTCCCTCTTCTAGAAACCAATTATTTTTTTAATCATCGAACCAGAACATCTGTCATGCAGTGTTGTCCGCCCTCCGCCCTTCCTTCTTCCTCCAAGACGGTATCATGAAGTCCACGACGGAAAACTTCGGAGCAAAGCTGACATTTTCATGAATTTTTAAAAAGTTTCATGAGGTGGGGAGGGGAAGAAAAAAAAAAAGAAAAATAGCTTTTTTTTTTTTTTGGTCTAAAACGCACAGTTTGCAGGCTCCCTTGGGAATGCCCTGCTTTGTCCTCTCTCCCCCACCCCCCAAACCCACCGACTCCCACCCCCAGGCTCCAAAAACCCCTCCCCGGACGAGTCAGCAAGTGAGCAAATGTGCAATCAGTTGTCCTCACCGCCTCTGCCCCCATCTCCCGGATTGGCTTGCTGTGCCTGGCGGACGGGCTGTGGGTTCCTTAATAGCATTTCAAGCCGTGCCTTCTCTGCAGAATGCATGTCTTCGGGCCGGGGGGTGGGGGTGGGGGGTCTGCCACTAGTGAACGGAACGACAGGAGCTGTACACACTTGGAGTCATGCAACAAACGAGACAAAAAAAGAAAGAAAGAACACAGTGAAATGGAATTCTTCCGCTCTTCTTAGGAATCCTTGGATGTACTCTCAGAATGCAGTGTAAGCTAACGGGGTCACGACCTCTCGGGGGTTCCAGTGTCCGGGTTTCCAGCGATTTGGTTGCAGATGCAGAAGAACACAGTGGCGAGCTCGGCCGCCCCTGTCGTGACTTGGCGCAGTCTCCAACTCCTGCTCCCGTGGCGCCGCCGCCCCCACGCGCGCGCCTCTGCAGGTTTGCCGCTGGCTGGCTGGCTGGCTGGCGTGGAGTGAGGAGTTCTCCTTGGGCTGCTTTAGACGTTTTTTGGTTTTTTGTTTTTTTTTTTAATCTCTCCTTTTTAGCTGCCGTTGAAGCATTCCTGTGGTACCCATCACCATTTCAACCCAATTGTTTATTTCAATGAGCTTTTTGGGGTTTTTTTTGGTTGGTTGGTTGGTTTGGTGGTTTTTTTTTTTTTTTGGCTTATTCACATTATTTAAGCAGAAGCAGGGAGGGGGTCCCTCTCCCAACCTGAGCATGTCACCTCTGCACCCTCTTAAGGTCTTAAGGTCTGAACCGTCTCTGCCGCAGTATTGCACCCCGTTATTGCTTCCTTTCCCTGGAAGGGGTGCTCGGAGCTGTTGGGGTGGGTGCATGGGAGGTCGGGGAGGGGTGCTGACTCTGGTGGCCCTGGGGAAAGAGACTCAGGGCCACTGACTCAGCAACCCCCAGGCGTGGATCCCACCCAGCCTGCACTCCCCCCTCCACACACACACCATCCCCCCAATTTGGACTTCCCAGAGGGGGGCCCCCACCCCCGCCACCGGGGAAAGGGCTCTCTTAGACTCACTCAGGGAGACCACTTCTCAGGATGGGGTCGGAGGAAGAGGCCTGGGGTGGGGGGCGGGGGGAGAAAGGCCACCCAAGGGGCACTGACTCAGGCCGGTGAGAGCAGGGAGCGCCCCCCGCTGGGGGAATTAGGGAGCTGGAGTGGAGGGGGGGGTGCAGGTGCAGCCTTGGCCCCATCCCACCCCACCCCACCCTCCTTCCCCCTGTGGGGTCCCAAGTCAGCTGGACCAAGGCAAGTAGAGAGTGAAGCCGCCCCAAGGTCCTGGGGTCTGCATGGTCCTCTTCAGGAATGGTCCTCTTCAGCTGGAGGCTTGGCACAGGGACACATCCCACCCAGAGTGCAGGGGGAGGTGACTCCGTCAACCCCAGTTCCAGCCCTTGGAGATGCCAGATTCAAGGAATGAGGATTGGGGTGGGGGGGGGGGAGGCTGGGAGTGAGGGGGGAGGGCATCGTATACCCAAACAAACCTCAAAAAAGCAACAGTTCCCTGCAGGTGCCCAGCCACAGGGGGGCAGGGCCAGTGAGGGAGGGCGCCAAGGACAAGGAATCGTGGCCTTGCAGGTCTCCCTTAGGAACTCAGCCGAACAGCCAACCATCAACTGTTGTTTTTAAAAGATGATGATGAAGTGAAAACCACAGGCTCCCACCCCAGCCAGATCAACGCCCCCTCCCTCCCATCCCTTCCCCCCACCTCCCCCAACCCCTAGATTTCCACAATTATGCAGAGTGGTGGTGGGGTGGAAAAAAAAAACAAACAAACCAAGAGCGACACCAGCACTTTAAACTCTCTGTGTAGGTATGTATGGGTGTGTGTGTGGGAAGAAAAAAAAAACACAAAGGTGCAAATGAGCTTCCCTCTTCCTTCTGGGGCTTCTTCCACCCCCAGCCTTCCTAACCCCCTCGACACGCAACTGAACTTGGTACGAAAATGACCCTGTGTGGCGTCCCGGCTGAAGCGGTGGGGTGGGGGGTGCGGGGGGTTAGGGAGCTTTGTGTCAAGTGCCTATTCGAAATGCACTGTGGGGTCTTCTGCGCCCCCCCCCCTCGTCTGGGGAACCATTTCTGCCAAGCTTGTCCCCATTTTCCCGTATTTATCCCATCGGGCGAAGTCGCTCGCGCGCCCAGCTGGTGGTGTCCGTGGTCTCTTCACCAGCTGCACAAAACCCATTTCTTCCAAAGTCTCAAGACAGAGCTCGCCTTGGCGGATTGTGTGTTTTGTTAACTTTCTCGTTGAACCTTTTTGTCATGTCATGCCATATTTATTGTTTTTTTTTTTTTGAACGAAAGGAATAGTAATAAGTCTCTAAAAAAAAGTTCCTTCTTCCATAAGGTTTCCTTCCCAGTTACTAGTCCTAACGGGTGCGCGTTTGCGAGATGTCCAGCCGTGGTGTGGTGGCATTGGTCATCGCTGTCCTCGAGCTAGTACCTGGCACACAAAGTGGATTAATACTACAGTATTTTGTGTTCCCTCCATGTACTAAGTATGCCGGTTTCCCCATTGAGTTGCTGCTATTCAAGGTCACACACGAAATGGCTGAATTACAAGTGTGCGAGTTAATGACTGCGTGAGCCTTAGAACTTAAAATGTATAAAGGGCAACCCATGAACTGTCAAACAGTGTTAGATGTGTGTTTATATGTACAGACTCGTGCGTAGAGATCGTTGTTGTTGGTTTTTTTTTTATTTAAGTTGACACGTACTCCCGTTTTCATTATCTTAACGATTTTGTACCAAAAAAAAAAAAAAAAACAAACAGCAAAAAAGATAGGAATTCATTTGTAAACACTGCCAGAATATTTTCTAGCTGGTTTGTAATTTTTTTTTTTAAAGAACGTTTTCATTTTGTTTGGGGTTTTGTTTGTTTCTTTGTTGTGGTTCTTGTGTTCATTTTTTTGTTGTTGTTGTTGTCGTCCGTGTAGATCTGTAAATAAAATCGCAGTATTTAAAGCTTTAGCTTTCAGGAAAAAGAAAGGAAGAACCTGAGTGTGTGCGTAGCCACATGTGCGTCTGAGAGGAGCAGCCGGAAGGAAAATGTCTTGTTCGGTTAGCTGGGTGGCAGTTAGCGGATTGTGAGAATTTCTTTTCCTCTGGGGTACACGATTTTGTAAAAAGGAAATATTCCTCCCAAAATTGGGAGTAGGGAAACTACTAATCAGTTTAGCTTTGTGTTGTATGCTAGTTTAAAAAAAAAGAAGAAGAAAGAAATATGTAATATACTGTAAAAAAAAAAACAAATAAAGCTTTTATGATGGATTTTTGTAAATAGATTTGTTACAGGGTTACCTGTTCTCTAGCTGTGATCTTACCACTTCAAATGGGTGTAATTTGAATAAATTTTGTATGGTAAAGGATCAATAAAAATGATTTTTTTTAAGAGTTCAGGCCTGTGAATGGCTTTCCGGAACATTCTCTGATGCTCCTGTGTTATTTTCCGCTTTTAAAAACAAGCTGCCATGGTTGAGGGGAATGGTTAGACACAGACCGTGGTGTCCTCAGTCTTGAGACTTGGGAACACTGGGCAAATATTTGTGGTGCACCTGTGTCGGGTTCTGTGCCCTGAGAATCACTGCCAGGGCCCGGTTTTCACACTGAGAAAGTGGCCAGTCAAGTTTGATTCTCATAAGAACTCGAAGCCAAGGTTACAGAGATAATACAGGAGTTAAGGTCCTTGCCTTGCATGTGGCCAACCTCCAGATGAATCCCCACCCCCACCCCCCACGGTCCCCCGAGCACCGCCCGGAGTGGCCCTTGAGCACAAAGCCAGGAGTAAGTCCTGAGCACTGCTGGGTGCGGGCCCCAAACCAAAAAAGTAAAAAGGATTTGAAGCAACCCGTTTCATTTTTCAAGACCAGTAAGGACCTCTCCTGTTCGAGAATTGGTAATTCTTCCAATGTTCCCTCGGAGTGAATTAAGTTTTGGTTTTATTTTGTTGTGTTGGTTCATTTGTTTAGTTTGGGCCTAACCAGCACAACTCACTTTTTTTTTCTTTTTGGGTCACACCCGGTATTGCACAGGGGTTACTCCTGGCTCATGCACTCAGGAATTACTCCTGGTGGTGCTCAGGGGACCATATGGGATGCTGGGGATCAAACCCAGGTCAGCCGCGTGCAAGGCAAACGCCCTACCTGCTGTGCTATCACTCCAGCCCCACAACTCACTTCTATGGAGACAGGAAACCCAGATCTAGGTGCTGGTTGCTGGCCGTGGTCAGGCCCCATGCTTGATGCCCCTTCCTAGGTCCTCTGCACACCCCGGGCTATACTCTAAGCTTACCTACAAGTTCCAGAATGCGGGTTGTTTGGTTCGGTTTGGGGGCTACACCCAGTGATGCTCAGGCCTTAGTCGTGGCTCGGTGGAGCTCAGGGATCCCTCCTGGCTGAGCTTGGAGACCCTGAAGGTACTAGAGAGCACACCCAAGTCGGCTGGTTGCATGCAAGGTGAGCGCCCTCTCTGCTGTGCTGTTGAGCAGCCCAGGAAACCTGTGTTGTTGACACACACAGTGAGAACAGCAGAGTCTGAACTACAAAGAAGAAACTTCCCCAGGCCCCAATGCTTGCCTCGGCCTCCGGCCTCAACTCTGTCAAGTGGGCTCGGACAAGCACTGCGGTGTATATCCATCTCAACACGAGGCATACTGAGTGCATGATTAGCCTAATTCTTTTCCACTAACTATATCTGGGACATCTTTCCATGTATATCCCCAGAGGTCATGGGCATTCCTTTTTGAGGGCTGCCCAATTTAA